AAAATTGTAGTAAATGTAAGGCTGAATATTTTTGTGGAGCGAAAACTTTTATGTTAGCTAAATACATATCATTATCTTTATATAGAAATGTTCTATCTAACATTTTTGTTACTTTAGAGAGTAGGAATAAAACTCTCTAAACTCTATAAAAAACCAAAGTTCTTTAGTTGCGAATATCTTAAAAAACATGGCTTCTAATAAGTACTGAAACTAAAATTCCAAATTCTAAATTCTAAAAGTGAGCAATCTACCGACTTTTTATATGAGTTAAGGTTTTTCTACTTACATAAAAGTACATTAATAATACATATGTACATATATGCACAAATTAACCTTCATTTCGAGACCACTTGAAGTGACATAAAACTCTACGCAGTTGTAAAGCAACACATAGTCTATTTGTGGGTACACATAAGCACATATAAGCATAAATTTTTTTAGGGCAGTATACGTAATAATTAATAACAAAAACTTCATTCTGAAATCAGCTCTGCAATAAAAACAAGGGCATTTTGATAAGCCAGTGACTTTTTGAGTTTCTTTAAATGGAACACTGCTCCTCTCAACTATCATCTATATCTATTAATAGAATAATACAAAATTTTAAGCAAGCTATGTCATACAGTTTCTACTTGTTGACCATTGAAAACAGATAACCCCATAAGTCTTGATGATAAAAATTGCGTAAAAAATCATAACCGAAACCAAGCAAAGGCTGGGTAGATACTATGGACACTCCACACAATCAGTTGCAATGGAAGTGGTTTACTGAATCGCTTGTGGTCGTTGCAGTACAAATGACGCTGAAGGTCTCAGAAATTGTCGATAAAATCCGTGGAATAATGTTGGCTGGTGGAGGGAGAATGAAACTGTGTGAGGTAAATAACATTTTACATGCATTTTTCGACATAAAAAAAAAACTATTTGCGCGAAAGGTGCTGCGATTGCTCACACACTCCACCATAAATGCAACCGTGTGACCATTTCGAAGAAGAGTTTGACGAAGTTCAACCCCAATACAGATAAGTTTTTGCGTCGCACAGTGGAGCGACCCATATGAACTATGACGAAATGTAACAATTGTGATCTGATTTTACTGTTATTGGTTATCTGTAGTATTTTTGCTTAGGAATGCAGAAATATGAAAAATCGCATAGATTGGCAAACTGCCACGCCCATTACAATAGGGTGCGAAAATGATAAATGTTATCCGATTTTAATGAAAATCGGCTTGTTTATTAGTTTTAACAACAAAAACTGAAATCTGAAATATGGTCATGGTCGTCACCGCAGACGAAAAATGGATCCCTTAGAACACATTGTACATACATGTACATATATACACTTGTGGCCACGAAAACACCTTACCACGACTTAAAAAAAGATTAGGTGAAAATTTTGTAATTTAATAATTTTTTTTTAAATATATGTAGTTTACACTGTACACTCGTGTCACGCTAACCTTATGACGACTTTAAAAAAATATGAGGTAGAATTTTGTAAATTAATAAAAAAAATATAAATTTTTTAATATAATTCACTCTGTAACAAAAACAAATGCAAAATAAATTTTGAATTTTGTAAATTAATACAAAAAATATTTTTTTTTTATATAATTCATTGTTCAACAAAAACTACATATATAATGAAAAGTATCAAACTTTGTACAGAATTTAGAAACACTCGTAAAATTTTCATCAAAATTTCAAACTTTATAATACAAAATTTTTAAGAAAATTTCAAATGTGTAGTTTTATAGCCCATTTAATTTTAGTATAATAAAGTGTAAGTTTGAAGTAGCTCAAAATTCTTTTTGTTTTTTGACAATATCTTTTTCTGTACGATGTTGCACGATTTTTGCATATACAAAAAAAAAATGATGCGAGAATGCGTTTCATGGAAAAAGCTACACAAGATCATCGGAAAAACATTTTTTAAAATTAAGTACCTGATATTTTGGGGCCACTTCAAAAGTGCACATTATTATACTAAAATTAAATGGGCTATTATTAAATACACACCCGATATTATCGCAAAAATTTTGTTAAAAAAGTTTAAAATTTTTAAGAAAATTTGATTAATTGCTTTAAATTGTGTACAAAGTTTGAAACTTTATTTATATAGTTTTTGTTTGACAATGAACAATATAAAAAAAAAATTTTATTAATTTAAAAATTTGAATTTAATTTTTTTTTGCGTAGCACAAATGTACATATAATGTACATGGTACCTAAAATAGTTGACGTTATCAATTTTTAGTCGTCGCATAAATTTGTAGGCATTTTGAATTATATTTTAGCTTATAAAATTATGCTTGCGGCAACAATTTCAGTTTGAAATCCAAGCCCAGCCAAAACCGACAGTAAATTCTTACATACTCGCTTTACAAACATATTAGTAAAGTTTTTTTTTACGTATTTTTTAGCTGACGTCAAAGGAAGCAGGAAACAAGTTTTGGCAGCTACTGTTTGACGCCGCTATTTTTATTATTGGCATTCCACTTACACGTTTGCTGCGTTGGCAGTTTGCTTGAACCAGCAACGGGTACCAGACGAGCCAAAAATAATAAAAAAAAAGTTAGGTAGTATCAAATAAAAATTAAACGCCAGAAATCGCTTGGCTCGCACAAAAAAAATGCAAGTGAGGAATGATAATAACAAGAGGGCTGTTAAAAACAATGCAACAATAAAAACAAAGTCAAATATGGCAATCAGCAACGATGCACCCAACAACAATTCAGCAAGCAAACAACTCAGCAACTACAACTAACCAAAAGCAACCAACAACAAGCCTAAGCTCTGCACAACGCACAAATACCACAGAGGCCAAAATACAAACACCAACATACAGCAAGCAACAACACTCGCCAAGTCCAGCCAAGCAACGTCACCTCAACGCAACAGTCATCAGTAAAACCAACAATGCGGTGAAGAAAAAACACGACCATCAACCGGAGTTTCAGCAACAGCAACAACAATTACAACAATTGTTGTTGTCGATGTAGCAAAAACTCGAACTCGTACTCGAAAGGTCGTTTCAAAACGGGTTCAAAACCAGTGTTGCCAACTCACCACCAACACAAGGCGCACGTTGTCTGCTTGACTCTCGTTATTGCATACAAACATACATATGTACATACATGCACATATACAATTCGAAGCACGGAGTATGACATCGGTGGTGCGCTTGTTGTTACTATTGTTGTTGTTGCAGTGACTGGTTTTGTTTGCTGAGCCTGTTCGTCAGCGGTGGGGGGTTTCACATTGCTGTTGATTTCTTGAGTTTCAGTGTTTTCATTTTGTTAGTTTTATTTTTAATTCGCTGCTTCTTTCTTTCAATTGAACCGTACGTTGTTCATACGTCTCTGTGAGTCACATTGCAATGACACCCCACCAACATTCGCACATGAAAACTTTCATATGCACATATGTGTATGTACATATGTATTAGCTCTGCATACACAAATACCTACATACGTATAAGTACCCTGGCAAAGCGCTAGTTCAGAACTAAATATTTCAGAACTATCTCTGAACTAGTGCAAAACGGCTACAGAGCGTACAAATTCTCACTTCTCGTACAATATGAAAGTAGCTCAGCGAGAAGACGTCCGACTCAAGCATCACTGGTCGCGAGCTCAAATCGCGGTTTTCAGATTTAATGAATTTGAATTGTTGCGTGCCGCTCACAATCCTTTTTTTCTATTCTTGTAAAATATGTAACAATCATGGAATCTGTAAAAGAAAAGAAAAAAACGGAAAAAATATCCAAAAATCGAATCGTAAAAAAGTTTTCTTGTAAAAAAAAACGCCCAAATCGAAACTAGTTAAAAACTAGTCGCAAATTAATGCACTGGGCGACAATTGCCACTGCCAATGACATCGCCGTGCAAAACGGGACAGTTGAAAGCATTGCTTGGGTATTGCAGCCAGAACTAGTACTCTCGGCAAAAGGTCTAGTTCTACGCTAGTTCTGAGCTAGTCAGATTTTCTGCAGGGATGCGCCTATTTTTGCATTGTTCTTGCAGAGCAGTATTCTTTTCCGCTCTGTCGTTTGTAGATGTTGTTGGCGTGGTATTTGTTGCATGCAAAATTTTCAAAAATTTTCATACACATGCATTCCTCAATGTTGCTAGTATTGTTTTTAGAGTTTTATCTATCGCATGGGTAATTTGCGCAAAAAGGCGCGAAAGCAGAAGCGCGATTTTGCGTTGAGCGATATCCGCGTATTGTTACTGTGCAAAGTTGCGAGGGACATTCGGTTTTTGCTGTTACACTATCAGGAAGTTGGAGAGCAACTGGTGGATTGTATTCACTGGAAATCAATTGCGTCTAAAGTGCGGAATATGCTTGTTGGGCGTTCATGTAGACCAGTCATGACCAATATATAGATCGTGGGCAAAGTTTTTTTTTGAAGCTTTCTTTAGTTGTTTACTTGGCGCGAAGAAAGTCGATCCTGTTTCAGCGGTCAGATTCAATATTTCAATAGATATTTTAAGATCAGCAAAATGAGCTGCATTGTTTAGGTTTTTTTTTTGTTTTTGAAATATAGTCACCATACAAGATTTTTCTTCTTTCAATTCATATCCGATTCAATTCTGAAAATTTTCAAAATTCCATGCCTTTTTTAATTGTATTCATAACACAAAAATCCCGCAATCCGAATGATTGTTTTCATAGCATTGATTCGGATTATCGAGTCTTGACTGTTAATTCTTGTGGGCATGTGCGCAATTAAAGCTGTGATTCGAAAAATGGTACTAAATACATACATACATATACTTCCGAAGCAGATAAAAGTTTAGCCAGCACACTGGCGGACAAAGACAGAAAGCAAAAAAAAAAAAACATAATAATAAGAACGACTCAGATATATGTATATATTTAAATCTGAACTTTGTAAGAGACTATTAAAGAGTTAACCAAAATTAGTATGAGGAAAGTAAAGTTTGCTGAAATAGTTAAAAGTAAGTTATGATTAGCATAAAAACGACAAAAAGCCAGCAATAATACAAAAAAGGTCATAAAAAGTTTTTAGTAAAAATCCGTAACTCTGGCTGACTGCTTTAAAGCCCTTCGTTGGGAAGATACTTTAACTGTGCGGTGAGACGTCTACATAAATAGTTATGTATTTATTCATGTAGGTATGTACATACATATTTAGCTGTGGCGCCCTCAAATTGTTTAATATTCATAAGCGCAGAAATGCAAACATGATAGAAGTACTAAAATAAATTCACATTGGTGCTGATGATGACTATGATGCTAATGGGCAGTGAAGCGATGCTCGCACGCACTTAGAAGCGGCAACATCGAGCAAATGGCGAAAGAAGTAGAGGTTAAGACAAGGGAATTTTTAAAATCGTGAAATATGTATCTATACATACTATATTTATGCTTGTCTGTGTGTTATCTATATGATTTTTTTCGCCGCAGTTTCGCATATTTTAGCGCTGATTAATAGCGTATGTTATTTTTATAAATTTCTAATTTTATACGCATGTTTCCGTTATTATTAACTCAACTAAAGAAAATCGTTTATAATTAAACTGACAGTGAATGGGAAAATTTAGAAAATGTGCAACGTGGGCGTTCATGGATGAAGGCGTCAAATTGGTCATGTCTGTTTGTGGGGAATATTTTTTTTTATCAAAACGTAGGTACATACACACATATGTATCAATTAAATTGATGCTTACAATACCCCATCCACCACCAAAAGTGTTTTGCACTCGTACAAAAAAAATGAAAATAAAATATATGTGTATATTAGTGTGGGTCGAAATCTTTAGGTTCCTTTGATATTTTTGTAATAGGTAAAATATATTTGGGCTGTTCCGGATGTTGACAAAATAGTCTTGGATTTGCAGTTGGAATTGCATTTGCAAATTTTATGCTTACTGTCATGACAACCGTGTACATTTTATTGTTGTGAGCATATGCACAAGAACCTGAAAAGCCCTATTGTTTTATTAGCTCAACTTTAAACCTGTAAAGCCTTTTATCCTTTTATTTTAAGTGCCAGCGCACGCGCATCGACCAAAGTTTAGGAAAACGGTTTGGTTTTTGTATTAGCGAATTAAACCGGAAACCCAATTGACATAGTCGAACCACCATTGTGGCAGTCCTATCATTTAGGGTTGCCCTTCAAGTTACCCTTTTTCAAGAAACATACCTGCATATGTATATACTTTTCCTTTGATTATTTCGCTTTTATTCGGATAAAATAAGCGAGTGTTTAAGGTGCTGATTCTGAATATACCCAAATTGGCTCGCGTTTGCGAATTATATCGAATTTGGGAACAATGTTGCCGTTTTGATCCATTCGGATCCAAATGGATACTTTTTTCGATGAATTTTGTGTGGATACTTTATTTGTGCTCAGTACAAATTCGAACACCTTTCTAAACAAAAATATATTACATACATATACTATAAATATGTACCTACCTACTTCCGTATTTTTTCACTAAATTAGTGACAAAGAAAAAATATGAATGCAATGCCGATTGCTAAAGTTTGATGAAAAGATTGAGGTTGTGGGCGTTATTGGAGATTTTCGGGAGGAATTAGTAAAAAAATATAATGTAATTTATTTTTAATAAATAGGCTGCGCTTGGCACAATAGGTATTGTTGTTTAAAGTTTTAAATTGTACCAAAATATTTTTGTTATAATCTGAAGAAATTCCCACATGGGTTTATTATAATCATACTTATTTAATAGCAGTAAACATGACCTTTAATTTGGCAATTAAGTATATATTATGTATTTATTGAGTATGAATTGTCAAAGCTAAAATTAGATGCATTCTATGTTTTTTTTTTGTCCAGTTATATAAATAACTTATCTGAACATATACATAGGTAAGCAAGAAGCTAGCTAGGGGTCATAAGTTCCATTGAGGCTCGAAACACTTCATTACTATCAAATTTCAGATTCTTCCGAAAATTTTCCTGTATCTGTAGGACTAGCGTATTTTGATATTGCCACATTTACGCAGCAGGTATTTTAATAAATTAAATCTCTATGTCCCTCTTTGCGCTACTGTAAAGAAGTATTCTAATTCATTATCAAACGATGCCTATTTGATCCTACTAATAATATAATAATTGAACTCGGGATACTAAATTTTAATTTAGAAACGTAATTGGACACTTTGCATCAATTGCGCGCGCTAAATATAAGCTTTATTTTAATACTTTGTGGCAAATTATTACATATTTTTTTAGTCCTAAGGCAACATATTACCTACACTATCAAATAGCCTTTATTTTCACCCATACAAAATCTACCCAGCCTAATGTACATATGTAAGTGCATTCATGCATACACATTCATATATGCATTAGGAACTTTTTTAAGGTACATACCTACATAAATGTGCTTGCCTTCATTTTGGTGGGTGGTGGAACAGCCCGCTCACTCTCCGCCCAGTAACCAACCAACCAACCAACCAACCAACCAACCAACCCATCAATGTAAGCAGCCATCATTTCCAATTCATATCTATCAATACTTAACGTACTAATATTAACTATGTATATGTACATATGTATGCATAGGAAAAGAAAAAACAACACACCTACACAAGCATGCAGTCAGGCATACAAACGCACACGTCACACGCTTTTGTACCTACCATTTCTGCTGTTGATTGTCCTAAATCTCAGCACGAGCAGCGGTGATTCTCTCTTTACCCGCATTTTCATTTCACTTTTATGACTCACGCTCTTGCTATCACGCTCGCACTCAATACTGTTGCACACCACTCGCTACACTCTTTGCACTGCTGAGCGTTTGTGTGTGCGTGTGTTTTTTGTTGTTATTATTGGCTGCTGCGACACAGCAGACAGTGGCAGCGTTAGCGACAGCGGAGTGAATCACAAAATTACACTTGAATACACGGGTGTGTTTGTAGATTTGTAGTTGAGTTTTTGTTGTTGTTGAGGTTTTCGTCGCGTTGCTTTTTTCTTTTTGACTTTACTTATCTGCTGCTGATTTGCTTTACTATTGTTGTTGTTGTTTTTCGTATTGTTTTAAACAATTTTTGTTCGTTGTATTGCTTTATGTATGTATGTATGTAGAGAACCGAACCTGATGTTTTTATTGTTTTTGCCGCCGTTAGCTTATTAGATAATATTAAGCCAGCGCACTATGGGCGAATATTAAAATAACAAAACTCTTAATCTAACTCTTTGCGATGATTTAAGTTCGTTTTCGGAAAAATTTGTGGAAAACTCGCAGATATTCTTTTGCACTTTTGAGTAGGGGGTTAGCAGTAATTTCGGGCGGTAGGTGACTCAAAACGAGGAAAGAAACACTTGCTGCTGCCTAACTGTTTAATTTCCGGTTTTCTTTGGGTTCACACTGGCGTAGGTAGGCACCATATTTTTCGACTAACTTCAAATGTATTGAATTATACTTTCATGTTGAGTTTTCAAACTACTTGCAAATGTTACCTTCTTCTTCTTCTTCTTCTTTTTTTGCAAATAAAACTCGCAATTCCCTCAATAAATTAGTTTTTATTTTATGTCGATTTTTGAATGCCTTTAGTTAATTTTAAATTTGTTGCTTCTCTTTTAATACGCTCACTCTTTCCAACTACACTTTGCTGCGTCTTTCGTGGCCGAAATTCCAGGCTAATAACTTGCTTTACTGGCGGTTATGCTAGTTGGTAATACATACATATGTATGTATCGGTAATATCTATGTTTTCTCCGTTTGTTTTTTTGTGTTTTTGAATATTTGCTTTTTGTTGTTCGCTTTGCACACGCAGCAATACGTACATTTATACATACATAAGTTTTTAATTGAATGAATGCAACAGGAACGTTATTACTGGGCCAATATGTATGTATGTACGTTAAATGAGTTCACCATTCAGTCGCGCAAACACTTCATTGAATGTTGTTTTCTATATTTATTTATTAAAAACTCTATTTGGTTTTTTTTTTTTACACAAATGCGTGGTTGTTGGTTAGTACATAGCAGTCGATTTGGTATTGGTAGTTGTTGTGTAAAAGGCACTTGTTTGTTCCTTTTTGTCTGCACTTACAACATGTTATGTTAATTCGCTTAAATTCGTTTTAATCGCATCTACTTTTGTCACATTTTCTTTGCAAGCTTCGCACAATTTTTGTTTTATTTTTATTTATTTTTTGCTTAATCATTTAGTAATTCCAACTTTAAGTTGACACTCGCACTTTTATGTAAATTATAAATTTTTTTTATTTGCTTTTCATCCAGCCTATGTTTGCATGGTGGCTCTTTTATAATTTTCCGTTTCTCTATCGAAGCATATAAATTAAATTTCCGTCGTTTCTTCCGACATACACGTCCGCTCGATTGTGCTCTTCGAATTCGTATGAAAGCAAATGAGAAATCCACTTAAACATTTATTCACCAATATGATAAATGCATTCTTCGCGCCGCTTCTACTGTGAATGTTTATGACCGATTGAAACTCACCACTTTACTAAAGCGGCATTAGGTATGTAACTTTACGACAGATGTCGCTTAGAAAGGAAGTAGACACATACAAACTTACTTACATTTGTATACCGAGTCACTATATGAAAGGCGAGGGTAATACTTACATTAGCATCTCTGGATTAGGTATGTTAATCCCGGAATCCCGTGCTGTTTAAGGTCCCGAAAATCCCGGTATTCTTGGCAAATAATCCCGTGTTTTCAGGATTTAATAATTTGCACTGGTGGCAATAATAGAAACTCCTTTTCTTGACCGGTATTGGCTATATTTCTATTTTTATTTAAAAATTAAAATTTTTTTATAAATGTCTAGCTCATTATACATACAATACCGCGCGATAGTAAATTTTAAACACAAATATCAAAATATTCGCAAAAACATGGACCAAATATAGTAAAATTGCGTTTTTAGTTTTTCACTCTGACGTCAGTAATTAAAAATTAATTTAAAAAATTCATAGAAATGTGCTTAGAGAAGAGGTATGGGTATCAAATTATAGAGGAAATCCGGTAGAATTTAAACAGATTCAAGTTTTTGGTGCAGAAGGACTGTAAGTATTGAAAATCTCCTTTTAAAATTTTATCCTTCAAATTTCGCAATATGTATTTGTTTTTGAAAAAATTATGTGTTAAGGACTTATATAAACTCGATAGATCCTCGAATTTTGTCCTTCTAGGATATATTATCACGTTCCAGATTCTGGTCGGAGCCGATAACCGTTCCCTGAAGTGTAAGAGGCTTGGTGGGCAACCGCATAATATTGTTACGATAATCCTTGAATTAATCGCTCAATTATTCTTTAATAATTCAGGTCCATTTCACCGGATTTTTAAATAAACTGCAAATCTTGCTACTCCAATCCAATCAAATAGAATGTCTTCGTTCTCCTCTGCTGGGTTTTCCTGATTCCCAGGTGCTCTCCATTAGGACCTCTGTGAACGCGCTGAGGAAGTTTTTCCTTTGAATCAATCACTAGATTCTGGATGAATCGGCCACCTTCGCTTACCCATATTCAATGCATGCAACCAGATACCGTCTTTAAACTGTCCCATTGGGTCCAGTATGCCTTTGCCATGTTGTTTTCCGCTGACACTTCGTCTCTGGCCGGGCGTTTTCTCAGCTTCCATCTTTGCATCACAACTCATAAATCCAACGATGCCAAACTCATGGACCGGTTATGTGTAACCCCTTCATGGGCCTCAGGTTTCACTGGACACTTCGGAATGCGCACAGAGCTTCGCAGCTGCTGCCATTACCGGCTACCGGCATATCTCCCTTGGAACATAGGTAAGTGGCTCTCTTTCTATCGGAAACACGTTCTGTCAAACATCCAACTGGCTTGCCACGACCCCTTTCTTGTGGCGACTTCCTCCTTTTCTCTGGGCTACCGTAACGGTTAGGCTTTTCCTGTATCTACATTCAGTAAGATAGGTCGGAATAAGACCCAAAGGAACTCGAGGACAGAAAACAATTTTCAGATGGTGGGGAATAGGAGCGGGTGTACAACGCCACTCAAAGAAGAATGCGGATAAGGAAGGGATCAAAAGACTTTCTAGAAAGGGAACGTTTCCAGCTCTCTTGTGAATCCATGTACTTAGTTAAGCCAGTTATTCACCCTAACTGAAGGAAGACCCAACTAGAGTTTTCAATGCATTCTTCTCATGTAATATCACTATTTCCGAACTATAATTGGCCAATGTATGACTTGTCCTACCTTTTGTTTTGCTTTGCATCTGCGGAGAGCAGAAGTGGGCAGCCACATAAATATGCAGTGATTTTGACTCCAGCTCTGTTTAAAAGGTGTATATCTCTTCCCTAGTAAGTGCAATGAAGCATAGTCCTCTTTCTGGGTTGCAGTTACAGTTCCACGTCTATAAACAATCCCGACTGTTGCGTCCTCGTTCGCGCACTGTGGGCAACGTGAGCAATCAGAGTGGAGCCTTGGGTCATGGTAGAAAGGGAGGGAGCATGACTGGTACCACTCCGACTCATTCGGAAAAGTGCCCGAAAATTATATCAGAGAGTTAGGCGATTTACGGAGGGTTCCAAGACCGGAGCAAACTCCTGTAAGAACGACCAAGGCGACCTAGTGACCGATGTTCACAAAGTACTAAGATTATGGAGGGAAGTATTCAAGGAATATGCAGCCCCCACTGCGATGGAAAGACTAAGTGGAGAAGGACTTAGCTTCAATTGGCATTTTCAATTGTCGTCATTTGTCACAAGGAGAAAACGACTGGCGTGCTGTTTTGGACTCGGCCAAAATCGTTTAGGCAGTTACAGCGCTGAATAAAAACAAGAATAGGAATATACAAATTCAGTATTTGAAAGCCAAAAATTATAGCTATCTATAGAGAATAACATATTTGGTCTAGGTAGATTTTTACTTTTTACCCTTTGGTTGTCTCTTTACAGCAGATGAGAATAATTCAGAGAGTTTTATAAAATTGAGTGAAATACTCGTACACGGAAGGATTGTGCAACAATCAATTAACCGCGGAAACCGGAACAGTAGGATTCCTTATATAGTAGTTAAGTATAATGTTGTGCGTAATGGTAATAATGTGGGTGGTTATCGTATTTGTCATGGCAACAGTAATGGCAATAGTAGTGGTAATGGCAAGCAATTCTCTTGGAAAGGCGGGACTTGGTCATGCGAAAAGGCTGGATAATTCCACGCTTTTTGCTTATGAATTTTTCACTCTCATAATTTATTCGATAATTCAACATACCTCAAATATTTATGAATGAAGATATTTAATTGAAATTACATATTAAATAAGTTTCTTTTTTTAAGTACTTTATTAGTATACAAAAGTGTACAAACTTTATAAAGATGCTTATTCTTTTTTTAACTACATATATACATACTATATGTATGTAAATAAATAAAAATCATCAACTGCTCATTTATCAACTCCTTTCTAAGGGCTGGAGATCATGTGGCGTAGGTATAACCCAACCACCAAATGCTGACTCCAATTCGCCAGCTATTTGAATGCCTAGCTTATCTTTGTACGGTGCAGCGACAACTTGAAAGCCAACAGGCAAGCCATTACCATCATGGCCCATAGGAATGTGAGTGGCTGGGAAACCGAGGATGTTGAAAATCATAGTATAATCTATACTCCATAACGCCAAAGTGGAGGTGTTATGATGCAAAGCAGGCACGTGGAAAGTGGGAAAGAAGAGAACGCCATTAGGACCTAACATTTGCTGAAAAAAAAAAACAAAAAATTATTTATTATTGGCAATAAACCTAAACTGAGATTGCTAAATAACTTACAGCTAATTCAGTTTTCAATGTCTCGACTTCAGCTTTGTATTTGTGTAAACTCTCTTTCTTCATGAAGGCATGGGTTCGTCGCAAGATATCGAAGTATATCGCTTCTTTGGTATACTCTGACTTACCGAAAAGAGCTTTTGCAAATTCAATCAAATGTTCTCGTACTTTATTTGGATTTGAACTGTTTATTAAATAAGGGAAGTCTTGCAGAAGTCCAACACAACTAAACGTCACTTCAACTGAGTGTTTGAAAGCTTTCATTGAAGCTTTTTCGATTTTACAACCACGATTCTCAAAGAACTTTAAAGCTTTCAGAATGGAAAGCTTCATTTCGTACACTGGTGACGAATGCAAAAAA